CAAACGGAGTGTCTTACGCCACGTTCGCGATGCGATGGCTGATAGCCAAGACATGCAGCAAGAAATGCAGATGGAAGAAGCGGAAGAAGTGCTGAAATTCTTGAGGTTGGAGAACAGATTTTACTGAACGCTAAAAACCTTCCCACACATGCAGTTTCTGCTGTCTTTGAGACAAAGCTTCATTCACGGTTTATTAGAAGTTTTAAGGTCGTGGCCAAGAGAGGCCAAACGTATACACCGAACATTCTGAGAAGGATGCGCACCCACTCGCGATTGAAGTGGGCTTCCTTAAACACTTACCGGGATCCGGCGCAAGTGATCGAGGAAGCGTTGGCACGGGGCGGCGCTCAAAGGTGCTCGGCCACCCAGAAATTGGACCAGCAACCGGTTCTGAGTACGGAGTGCAACAACTTCCGTTTCCAACAGCGCAAGGCATATACGTCACTTCGTGTGACGTATGTGCCTGCTCGACGGCTAGATGCCACTCCGATAGAGAACGATAATCCTCAACGCGAGACAGTCGGTGCAAAAATTGCTCTAGACTCTCGAGGTCTTCCGCACAGCGGTAGATGACCTCGGAGAGATTCCCGGCAGAATGCCGGTGACGATGGACTTTCTTCTCTAATGCTCGTAGAGCATCGCGAGTCACCGGAAGGGGATCGATCAAGTCCTCATCGCCGCCGCCGACTCTTCTCGATGTGAATGTCCACTACCACGTAACACGCCTTGTGGGTCGACGTCGTCGACGGTGTATAACCCGTTTTTTGTGAAGTGGCAGGAATACCCAAACCCCGAGAACTCGTGGGAGTTTGAGGTGCCCCTTCGGCAATTCTGCCCAGACGTAATGATCCTATCTGATCATGACGCTTCGCGTCATCGTTGCCCCGCGCTTCTCGGCAGTATCCCAAAAAGCCGGAGGGCCATGAGCTGAGCTCAATTTATGGCCCTGATCTGCTGTGATTGTCGACTCATTCGTGTGAGAAGCCACATAGCTCGCGGGAGTGTGATGGATTATTCCATGTGTCGCATGGTGACAATACACAGGATGTCGGCGTTGCGCCTTGATTTGGCAAACTCAAATCAAAGAGTTTGTTCTACGCGCGCGTTCACTTCCTTGTGACTTTGCTGTAAGCTAGACAGCGAATACAGTTTTCGGTGTCGCTTCACCCATCTCCCAAAAAGCACATCATCAGCTGCAGCGGTTTCGCCAGCGGCGAGCACCACAGGAATGGTCCGCATCGTCGTAACAGTAGCACCTCGTTTTTTTGCTCGAAGTCGAGCGCGGTACCGATCCATTAGGATCTCTTGGGTACCAAAAATCGCGCTCGCAGAGTTTTCCGCTGGTCAAGCTCAGGTTGTGTAATGGTTGGAGGCCCAACTACGTACATGCCTAAGGATCGAGTGATCGCGTCTTTCGCTTTAGTAGCGGTATCCGCCGAGCGGAAGCCGTATACTGCATGAGGATCTAAGTTTGAACGTGGATACGAGCGCTGGAGAGCCGCCCTGTGAGCAGCTATCAATTGTTGCTCCTGTAGAAGCCGAGATGTCGGGGAACGGACATGGTGTCCACAGAGTTTGAGCTG